TAACATACTCTATAAAGTCAACGTCATAACTATATACTATTGCGTATACTTGTTGTTTTTGTGACTGGTGCTGCTTCTGGTACTGCTGCTGCTAGTGCCGCGACAACAGCTGACAACACAACGGTAAAATTTAGAGGTCCCGCTAAGAATAAGTGAACATCTTATTAACATTGAATTTTTAAGTACAAAATGCCTAATGCAAATTCTCTTATCTGAAAGAGTGTTCATTTTGAGTGAGAACGCAGTTTCGATAAGATGTGAGTTCAAAGTCCGGTGGAGGCAATCTTTTTTTCTTCATATTTTGCCTGCATTTATGCAATTCAGCTATAAAAGCCATCAACTTTTATAGGTAATTATGTATTTTGATATTGAGAAAAAAATCAGTTCTTTATCACTTTATTTTAAGTACTAAAAGTAACAAGTACCGTGCATATAAAGCATACATTTATCACCCGAATTTTCTACGAGCTGCACCCTTTCTCAATTATATATACTAATTACGTACTAGCGTCCGTTTTGTAAATGTAAATTTGAATCCCGGAAAAATCGTTTGATCAAATATTTAGTTGTTGTTCTTTAGTTATTTTTTAATGTAAGGACATTTATATTTCACTAACACACTGCTACTTGAGAACATGAAGTTTTACACTGATTTGTATTCAGCATAATTCAAGTTTAAAGCGATTGATCATTAAAGGTACACTGAACCTACTTGTCTACCGTTGTGTATTTAGTGATAACATAGATATTTTAATGTTTAATTTAATATTAAATTATTTTATTATTATTAAATTAGTAATTATTGTTACGCTGATTTGCTATAGATCTGAATACGCCATGTTACATTATTATGTACATATATTTCATAAATAATGTGAAATAATACGATGCTTGTCATCTGAAGTGTTACTATAATAATCGTTCTGCATTGTCGTTTTATTTGGCTATGCCTTCAATCTTTCCAATAAAGTTTGTCCAGGTGTATCAGAGATCCAAAACGTTAAATTGTCATATATCGTGAAATTATTGTTAAATGTATCATTTTTTTTATTTCGGTGACACAAATCAATATAATATATATTTTTAGCTTTAACATCTTTTGTTAAATATTCATGGTCTTAAATCAAATTTATTTTCATGCAAGGTGTTGCTATGATGATTAAGCAATTTGATTGCAAACATACCGTTTCATATCATAAGAAGCGAAAAGAATGAACTATGGACTAATTGGGTCTATCAACAAATGTATGTTTTATTATATCTCTCAGATATTAAAATAAATTAAGGGCCATATTACGCAATTTAGACATTGATTATTTTTTAAGTGAAATATCTTTTAATAGTCTGTACATTTGTCAATTTCTTAATTGTGTACATTCAAGCAAGCTTCTGAAAATTTACTTATTTCATATAATTGAAGCATTGGTTTGGATATCTTGTTTTCCGTCGCCATTGAGTATTTGTCATTTTAAACATTAACATACTATAACATTCATCTATTTTGAAACCATGTTGTGAATTCGAAATGCCTTATTTTGTAATGAGGTAAAGTCTAATATGTTTAAATGAAATATACAAATACGATATTTTAAGACTATAAAGGTACAAGGTATCAAGATTTTAAATCCATTCTTTGCACTGTGTTTGACAGGGATTTGGAAATATTTCATCATCTCAAATGGAGCAAAATATGACAGTGTATGGAACTTTCATTGCTTTGATAATGATTTGGCAAGTAAGCAAGAGTGGTCGATATCGATGCTAAAAATAGAGAGGTAAACAAATGGCTTATGTATCATAAATCTTTACATCACATGGCGTTGATATAGATATATTTATTTATGCATGTAGAACGCCAGTTTCGTAACTTAATTCTTGCACTGCACCGCCATTTTTAGGCCTAAACTCACATGACATACCTCGTAACGGTTGGAAGCCTTGGAACCTGTAGAACCTTATTTCATTTCATTTCTAATTAAGAGCGTCAACTTCAACTTCCGATCGCAAATGACGTACGCACACACCATCCGCGATGTCCCGGACGGCCTCCGTAAATCGGGGTTTCGCCCGTCTAGACGCGAGTTTTGCTGCTAGATACTTTATATTGCATCAGAATATAGCAAAGCCGGTGCTTGAAGCTTCTGAGACTATCAATTCACTTTCAAATGATTCGACCACTGCAAAGCTCCGGGTTTGAGCCCACAAGGTTGCAGCGCCTATTAAACGTATGAAAAACTGATAGAAACTATTCAAAATATATGATATCTGTATTCTGTATTACAATCAGTTTTTAAAATATATCAAGATTTTACCAAAGTTACAATTTCAACAATTTATCCATTCTTCAAACCAGACATAATATAACTCATTTGCTAAATATATAAACGGTGCCAGTACTAAAAGTTCATTTCTCTCATCGAACGCCATCAGCGAGGAAAAATAATAGACATATATTGATTAAAATATTTTTTTTATGAGAGGAGTTATATAAAAGTCTATGTAAATTGTTTGCATCCAGAAAACGTCAGCGTTGGGATAGAAAACAATTGTTGTGGTGAACCTCTATAATTAAGCTATACATTCAGCCAAAATGGTATAACTACCTCCCAGATTACACTCCTACAAAATACTGTTACGTTTCCTCTCTTTATAAAGTGTGCACGTGGAACAACAAGCAGTTAAAAGAGAAGAACATGCATCGAATAAGAATAAATACATATAAATATATATAACAGATAAGTGGTGGCTACATTATTGCATAACAGAAACAAAAATTAGCATCGGTTTAAGTGAATAGTTACTTTAAGTAAAATCAGATCGACATGAATTTATCCTTCTTGGTTAGATTTTATACAAATGCAACAAAATATATTTCTATGAAAACACTTCGCACATAAATGTCATTGAAGAACTACATCCGTAATCATATAGATAACATTTTCTGGAACTTCCTGATCCACTGTATGTAAAATGCAAGCAAAGTTGGTTTGAAGGTCTACCGGGATACCAGTGATTGAAAGAGGGATCCTCTGGTTGCCTTGTAAACTCCCATTTACTGTTTGATGTAGCTCTACGACCATCTATCCAGAAACCATGGTTTATCTTTCTTTCCTTTACAAAAGTGCTCACATCTTGAAACTTGATCTCAGAATCTATACTGACAAGATACCCTCCATCCGCCTGACAACTTTCAGCAGCTGCTTTTTGAATACATGAACGGCTCACAAATTTTATGCAATATCCGTGTTCAGTTAGAGTGTAGTCTTCTCTGCATTTATTACAAGTGCGAAATTCAACTTCTATGTTTTGATCTGTACTAAACCGTTTGCAAAGAGTTGTATTAAATCCACAGTTTCTAGTACGATTCTGCCTTCCGAAATAGCCGAATCCTTTCACGAAGGTATAACTACAATGATTCCATTTACCCCATTCTGTACAGGGATGCAGGCGACATATCTCCTTTGCTACATCGGCCATTTCTGAACGGAGATCTTTTGTGACATTGCCAATTTGAGACTCAAAGTCTTTATCCACAATACCGATATCGTCACTAAATTTACGCGCCAAATTATTGATAACTTTGCCTGCAAGAACAAGATGAGGTTTGTTGAGAAATATCCCCACATCAGTCAATGGTTTTCCGGGTAGCGTTTCGTTTGTATATGGAGCTGCCATGACTTCAGTCAATATGACGAATACTAACAGGGTGACACATGCAGCGTTCTTCAGTACCAACATCTTTTAATATAGCTCTTATGCACTTTTGCCAAAGACTACTAAGACAGATCTATTTAAAATATTATAGAATGAAAATAAGTAATATTTTATACATATTAAAAAAATCACAGTTAACATACATTAGTGTTTGAAATTATTTTTGCCCAATAGGATTGTAGTATTTTAAATCAATCTTAACACTTTACTTTGGTATATCGGCAAACTATTTATCAGTCTAGTAAATTGGCTGTTTATAAAAATAGTTTAAATCACTAAGCTAGTTAAAATTTATTATTAGTTATTTTCAAATTTTGTAAATACGTACTAATAAACTTTAATCTTTATTGATATTACGTAGAAAAAATTAATGGTTGTTCTTTATTTCATTATTTTAAATGCTGTTGTAATCTTAAATGATTTTAAACATTTTTCACAAATTGATATATTAAAAATGAGAAGACAAACGTGTACTTTTTAAAATGAAATTATAAATAAATAAATAAATACATAAATAAATAAATATCCTTCTTTCTATCTTACAACTGTTGCATTAAACATAATACTTACTTTCTGACAAAATCAATAATCTGCTGTCAACTTGGACCCACACTGATATGAAAATTGCTTTTATGTTTACTTTTGTCTAATGACGAAAATCAACGAAATAATTTCCTCATTTCAAAACAAAGGGATATTATGTAATGATTCGGTACATATAAGGACATTTAGTGTTCCATCACATTTCCCGACCAATGAAATCGCTCCAATTTGAAAAAAAAACGCCCTTCTTAATCGTATCGGCAGGCAAATTTTCTTTCAAACACTACATTATTTAAGAGTTTGGAACGAAGTGCGCGTGTGTAACCCCGCCTTATTAGTTTAAATAGACATTGGTAAAATGCTTATCGAAATTAGGTCAAAGTATCTTCATAAAACCGTTTTTTTGGCGGGGTCATTTTGTGTATAATTCCTCGGGGAAAATATCGAAAAACCCAAACATTTGAGCCATTTTGAAATAACATGTATAAATCACACACCGATGATGCATTTATCAATTAATGCACACAGGCACATGAAGGGTAAAATTGAATAGGCCACGCAAGCATAATTATGCCGATTGGGGCTATTATAATCCGCGATATTTCGTTTTGATGCATACATTGTAAAATGTCGAGCTTAAGCATTAAGTCTCAACCTTTGCACCGGGAAATGTCTCTGCGCAAAATGTCGCAGCTAATTATTGATTCGTTGATGAGGTTCAAAAAGCCGCGGCCTATAATTTTTCCCTTCGACTTTTTGTAGAATTTCTACAACACTTGCAACACTTTCTTCCTGTTTGTTACCCGACATTTTAAAGACAAACGAGGGATAAAATGTATAGTCAAACCATGGGCGCTACTGGCCACATGCTATTTCAAACAACTGCCGTGACTTTTTGTACGATTTCGGCAGAAAATCTTGCGGGTTTGTATGTTGCTATGTTATTTAATAAGAATATATCTCGGGTTTAAAATGACCGCAATCGGCCTCCATACGTAACAACTTTCTGTAGGCTGATGGCCGTTGTGTACACCGGTCTCACTGATATTTGAGAGACTGGTGCCTCCATACGTAACAACTTTCTGTAGGCTGATGGCCGTTGTGTACACCGGTCTCACTGATATTTGAGAGACTGGTGCCTCCATACGTAACAACTTTCTGTAGGCTGATGGCCGTTGTGTACACCGGTCTAACTGATATTTGAGAGACTGGTGCGTATACAACTAAGTAAAGTGAACATTTTAATAATAAAGAAACCACGGTCGCTCCCTACTCTTGGGTTCTTATTGTTAAAATTTCACAAAATAAACGCAAGCATATTCTAAAAAAAAAACAAACAAACAACGGATGGTTCTTATTTCATTTGTAAAGTTGTTTTTGTTCAAAATCTTACGGATCATGGATCATATATTGATACGTTCTAGCCTTACTGGTCGAGGAAGTCTTTTTTATTGTTTTGATTTGGTTTTACGTGTATCCTACACAATATAAGTCATATGACATTCCTGCTTTACTGGTGGAGGGAGACCTCAGGTGCCACTCCGTGCATTATTTCAAGCACAAACGGGTACCATAGTAGAACACCCGGCGTTCCGTAAGTTGGCTGGATAGCTTCACACGAAATAATCAAAAGTCTCTATCTTGATTCGAACTCACAGCGTCGAGGGGGAATTGGTTTGAAGTCAACGACATTAACGACTCGGGTACGGACATCCCTGCGCATAAAATATTTGTTGTGTTAAAACAGTATGCCAATAGGAATTAAAAAATCTTCCTCGTGTCTTTTGCTGATGGCCATTTTCAGATAAGAATGTATTGAAGATATTTACTGCAATTGCTCAAGGTATTCATAAACCGAAATAATGTAGTTTCTTGAACTTTATCTATTTCTTTTATAACATGCATAGAATTAAAACAAAATGTATATCACTGCTTGCTCGACTATTCTCAGTTCTTGATAGTTACAAATGAGAAGTTTCCGAAAAAGTTCCTTGATAATTTTATCAACATCCATGTTAGAGAGCTATGGGCATTGGAAAGTTGACTGTTATTCTCTCAATTGTGTGTAGTTTTAAACCATTCCCTTTATAGTAGTTGTGGAGATACCAGTTTACATGCAAAAACTTTAACCAAAAATAAATCTTATTTATAAAAGGGTCATTAATACAATGTATGCAAACAAGCAAACAAACGTAATGGGGCTTGCGCCAGTAATGTTAGAAACTCACGGGGAACAAGCGTATCAATTTCAAAACCAATTCCATCAGTAGTTATGGAGATACCAGCTGATACGCAAAATCTTAACCAAAATTTTCTTTATGTCGAAAAAGGGATGAGATTTAGGGAGTTATGCCAATTATGTTAGATAATCACACAGAACAAACGTGTGCAGTTGTTATTCATGTGGTACCAGCTTACTAGGAAAATCTTCATCAAGAATTTTTTGTTGAGAGAAGGGGAACAATTATGAACAAAATTCAGTGTTATAAAGCTTGTGTCTGTCCTATAAGACAATCACAGAGAAAAAGTGTGTGGATTTTCAATTCATTACCTTCAGTTGTTACGGAGATACCAGATGACACGCCAAAAAAAATGAAATAAAACTTTGAAGTCGAAAAAGGAAATCAGCATTATGGGACATGTGACAATCATGTTTATATAATCACTGACAGCAAACATGTAAAGTATCAGTGCATGTCTCCTTGATAGTTATGGAAATACAAGCTTACACACAAAAACTCAACAAAGCTTTGCTAAGTCATAAAGGGGTCATTATGTACCTTACTAATATGCAAAATATAGAGACAACAACTTGCATGCAAAACTTATGTGTACATCATGAAGTTTCAAGTTGATACATTTTGATAACCTTTTCAGTTGTTCGTCTTTGTATATCATTGACCAGACAAGCTGAAAACCTTTAAATTTTGGTCAAAAATTACATGCACTGATAGTGTAGAAAAATGACATTGAGCCAAAGTTTAACACGGTATTGTTTACCTCGTCTTTGCAAGATAAAATCTGTACCTCACGAAACCAGTATAGTATGGCCTGAAAAATAACAAAATCATGTTTGAAAACAGGAAAATAATAAAATGTTATGTTTTTTTTTAAAAAGTTACATGTACTTTTATTTAAAACAAATCTGAGTTGGGTTATACTCCAAAAACCTTACAATAAACAAAAAGAATAAAACAAAAGCTGTTGGTTGCTTGATAGTACAGCAAAACCCTTGATAATGTACAAGTTCAAAATCGTTGTTAGAGTCATTGGCCTTATACGGTAACCTCCTCCTATTTTGCTCTCAAATAAATGTGTGAAACTTCAGTAGTTTTTGTGATATCAACTAGCACGCAAAAAAACCTAACCAAAGTGACAGTAACGGCACGACAGGGTTGAGATCTATCAATCTATTAAGTTTCATGTTGATACCCACAATTTTTTTCATGCTCCAGACAAAAAATAAGATGTATGAAAAATGACCAAGGACGATAACTCTTAAAGCATGCCAAGGAAAATTATTTTTAACCTTTATACATGGAATCATTTTAAATATCGCATTGGTTACTTCCCTTGATTTATGCCGAAATAAGAAGGGGAGATCACTGCGTGGAGATTGCCATCCTTCTTTAGTAGTGCTCAAGACAAACATGTTTTCCTGGTTGAGATATACTCACCTATGAAGTTTCATAACTTTTATCAATTTTTTTCTTCGAATATCGGACAGTAAAGTAGAGTCAATCGCACCAATTCTTCGTTTTTTAATGGAATTAACAAAAATATAATTATTTTATTTACCGGTATGATGTTATGTCTTGGAAGTGACATCAGCACCCTATTTCACTGTATTGTATTCAGTTTTTTGTTCGACTTTCCGACTTTATCTCAATTTACTGTATCCTTAAGAAACATTGATAAATGTACTCGTACATGTATATATCTTGAAATTACCCCTATTTCTATCTGTTGAACGCTTTTGTAGTTCTTTACCCATACCTATTTAACTGCCGGGTGAGAAATGACACCTAGATGTAGCGTGATATAACAAAAAAAAGACCCCAAAGTAGAAGCCCAATTTCAACATTTCGTTGCTTAGCTGTCTTTTTGAGATAAGATCTGTTACTTACGAAACCAACTATGTTTGTATGAATAAAGGCGTAGTCGTGATACAAAGTTTTGAAATATTTTATCTTCATAACAGGAAATACATAACATGTTGTTCTAAAAAGTTGCACGTACATTTTTTTTAAGTTTGACCTTCCGAAGGACAAACATTTAAAAATGAACAATAATAAAATATTTTTTATAGCAATTGTACGTCTTATGTACTGTATGCTAAATAATTATACGTTATGCTGGATTTGAAAACAATCGAAAGATGGGAACCATGAAATCTTGACAGTTAAAAGACGTTAGGATGTTGGTCACCCGTCAAGTTTTTAATGTTAGCTGATACCATTTCGTCCCCATAGCCGACACACCATGTGGTTGTCTTCAAACACTTACCGCTATCCGCTTTGGGTTTATAAGATATATGAAATTGCTGATCATTTGCCATGCATTCTAATCTTAAAATGTAAAATAAGCATCTTAAGAGTAAATCTACATGCAAAGAAAAAATAATTTAACATTTTAAATTTTACACACACTATAGGTCAACTCAACACAGATTGAATACATAGTAGCATTTAAAAACAGTAGTGTTTTTTGTTTTTGTTTTTGTTGTTGTTGTTGTTGTTGTTTTTCAATTATTGCAAAAAAACATTGGTCATTTACATTTTTGTCCATTCGGCGAATAATATTTTCTTTTCTCCGTAAACAAAAACAAATGGACCGCTCATCTGGTTGATTTCCTATAATAAGGTAGCTTTTTCAGACTTCATAATATGGAAACAGTCTAAAAGCACAGAAAATGATGACGTATCGCATCCAGCTTAAAACACGCTGTCCATTAAAGGGGTACTGTTTTGCTTTTGACGAAACTGCTTCCCCCTTTAACACTATTTTTAAAATACGCCTTTAGACAAACAATTAAAAGGAAAGAGACAACTTAATACTGTGCTTATCGTACATGTAGAAGTGACCCCAGATACCCAGACAGGACAGAAATGAATTTT